GTTATGTGACATGGAGTTGGTTCCGGCCCATAGTGACCCTGTACAGGGTTTCCGAGGCTGTAAATGTTTACGGGAGCAGAAAGCCTCATCTTTCTCCTGTGAAACAGCTCGTAGTTTCAAACTACTGACCTTGCAGTTCGCAGCCTGATTCATAACTACTATGCTACCAGAGCTCCTTATATAGAATCCTTCAATACCAGAAGTTGAAGCTTGAATTTTTTCTTCAATTCCCTTGGCTTGAAAAATACTGAGCGTGTTCTTCCCTTTTGGTTTTCTAACTCTAGGTCTTTTTCACTTTTCATTACAATATTTAACTTTGTCTTCTTGAGCTGACCTTTGAAATTTTCTGTTCAGCTCTTCTACCTGCTCACTTGTTCTATTTGCTTTAGCATCTGAATACTGGAGAGCAAGTTTCAGAGTCTCTTCTGGCATCCATTTTTGTCATTTCCTTCTTTCTTGTTTTTTTAATGACCTTTTAATTTCTTCCTGTATGATGTTCTTGGTGTCATCCCACAACTCTTCTGATCTTCAGTCTTTGAATCTAATGAATCAAATATGTTTTTGAATCAAATATGTTAATGAATCAAATATGTGTAATGAATCAAATATTTTTTCAGATGATTTCTAAATTCAGGTGTGATATATTCAAGGTCACATATTGGCTCTCGTGGACTTGTTTTAATTTTCTTCAGCTTCAGCCTGAATTTGCATGTGAGCAATTGATGGTTTGACCGAAAGTCTGCCCCTAGCCTTGTTTTGTCTGATGATATGGAGCTTTTCAACCATCTCTATGAAGAAAAATGTGGCATCAGGATTGGAGGAAGACTCATTAACAACCTGCGATATGAAGATGATAAAATCTTGCTTGCTGAAAGTGAAGAGGACTTAAAACATTTACTGGTGAAGATCAAAGAGCACAGCCTTCAGTATGGATTACATCTCAATGTCAAGAAAACAAAAATCCTCACCACTGGACCAATAAACGACATTCTTATCAATGGAGAAAAGATTGAAGTTGTCAAGGACTTCATTCTTCTTGGAGCAACTATCAACACTCACGGAAGCAGCAGTCAAGAGATCAGACGATGTATTGCATTAGGCAAATCTGCTGCACAGGAACTTTTCAATGTGTTGAAGAACAAAGATGTTAGCTTGAGGACTAACGTGCCCCGGACCCAAGCCATGGTGTTTTCAATAACCTCATATGCATGCTGGACAGTGAATAAGGAAGACCAAAGAAGAATTGATGCATTTGAATTATGGTGTTGGAGGAGAATACTAAACGTGCCATGAACTGCCAAAAGAACCAATAGATCTGTTTTGGAAGAAGTGCAGCCAGAGTGCTCCTTAGAGGCCAAGATGGCCAAACTTCGTCTCTCATATTTTGGACATATTGTCAGGAGGGAGCAGTCGCTGGAGAAGGATATCATGTTTGGTAAGATGGAGGATCAGAGAAAAACAGGAAGACCCCCCCAACGAGATGGATCAGCCAGGTGGCAGCATCGATGGACTCAGGTGTGGCAACAGTAGTGAGGTTGGCCCAGGATCAGACAATGTTTTGTTCTGCTGTGCATAGGGTCGCTATGAGTCGGTGCTGACTCGATGACACCTAACAACAACAACAACTCTCTCTTTCCACAGATGTCGTCAATTTGATTTCTGTGTATTTCATCTGGTGAGTTCCATGTGTATTTTATGTTGTTTAAAAAGAGCATTTGCCATGAAGAAGTCATTGGTCTTGCAAAATTCTGTCATTCAATCTCCAGCATCCTTTCTATCCCCAAGGCCATATTTTCCAACTACTGATCCTACATCTTTGTTTACAACCTTTGCATTCCAGTCACCAGTAATGATCAATACCTGTTGATTGCATGTTTGATCAATTTCAGACTGAAGGATTTAGTAGAATTCTTCAATTTCATCATCACTGGCTTTGGTGGTTAGTGCATAATTTTAATAATAGTGGTATTAACTGGTCTTCCTTGTAGGCATATGGTTATTACCCTATCACAGACAGCGTTGTACCTCATAACTGCCCCTGAAAAATAACAGATAGATAACTGTTCTTTTTGATGATGGATGTGATTCCATTCCTCTTCAATGTGTCATTCCAGGCATAGTAAACCATGTGATTGTCAGATTCAAAATGGCTGATACTAGTACACTTCAGCTCACTAATGCCTTGGGTATCAATGATTATGTGTTTCGTTTCCTTTTTGACAATTTCTAGTAATCCTAGATTTAAACTTCATACATTCCATGTTTTGATTATTAATGTATTTAGACAGCTGTATCTCTTCATTTTGAGTTGTGCTCCATCAACAAATGAAGGTCCCAAGGCCTTTACTCCATTTGTGTCTTCATAGTCAACTCTACTTTGAGGAGGCAGCTCTTCCTCAGTTGTATTTTGAGCATCTCCCAACCTTAGGGGCTCATCTTCTGGCACTGTATCTGACAATATTCCGGTGCTGTTCGTCATGTTTCAGGATTCAGTGTTGTGATGCTGACAGTGTTCTACTGTTATTCATAAGATTTTCAGTGACTAAATATTCGAAAGCAGTCCGTCTCTCCTTCTGCCTAGTCTGTCTTTATCTGGAAGCTCATCTGAGACCTGTCCACCATGGTTAAACTTGCTAGTATTTAAAATACCAACGGCATAGCTTCCAGAATCACAGCAACACACAAACCACCACAGCATGACAAACTGACAGACGAATGATGGAAAGGAGTATGCAATGGTATATCAGGAAAGTCCTGCACCAGTGTTGGATCCTTTTGCCACTTTTATTCAATATATCTGCTGAGAAAAAAAATGAGAAGCTGGACTATATTAAGAATATGGCATCAATCAGTATTAGAGTAAGAGTCATTAATAATTGATGTTATGCAGTTGATATCCTTGTATGCTGAAAGCAAAGGAGACTTTGAAAATCAAAGCCTTCGGTATGGATTGCATGGCAACATAAAAAGCCAGAATCCTCACAACTGGCCCGGTAAGTAGCATCATGATTAATATAAAAAAGGTGAAAGTTGTCGAGGATTTCTTTTTGCTTTGAACCACAATCAACACAGTCAAGAAATCAAGGCAAATCTGCTGAAAAAGACCTCTTTAAAGTGATCAAAAGCAAAAATGACACTGTAGACTAAAGTGTGTCTGCTAAACTGTGTCTTTTTAAATCACTCCACATGTATAAGAAAACCGGAGATTAGTAAGGAAGATTGAAGAAGACTTGATGCCTTTGCATTATGGTGTTGATGAAGAATATTAGATATGTCATGGACTGCTAGAAAAACAAACAAATCTGCTGCCCTGGGAGAAATCCAGCCAGAAAATGCTCCTTAGCGGTGAGAATGGAAAGACTTCATCGCACTTACTTTGAACATGTTATCAGGACGAACCAGTTCCTGGAGGACAACATGCTTGGCAAAGTTGTTGTTGTTGTTGTTGTTGTGAAGTGCCGTTAAGTCGGTTCCGACCATAGCTACCCTGTATAGGGTTTCCGAGGAGCACCTAGTGAGCTTGAACCTCTGACCTTGCAGTTCAGATGGCTTTGCAGTCTGGCACATTAACTCACTGTACCACACCAGGACTCTGCTTGGTTAAGTGGAGGGTCAATATAAAAGGAGGAAGACCCTCAGTGAGATGTGCTGACATAGTGACTGAATGATGGGCTCAAATACAGGGAAGATGGTGAGGACGGCTGCACAGGACTGGCGGGGTTTCCTTCCGTTACACATCGTCTCTCTGCTATGGAACTGACCTGATGGTACCCAATGACAACAACAGCTACATTTGAAAAAGTAAAAAAAAAAAAAGCAACAGGTGTGGGATTAATTTTAATAATATATTTGTTTAACCCAATATACCCAAAATATTATCACTCAAGTAAAATACAGTGCCCCTTGAGCCACGCCATGGGAAAAAGCTGAGATTGCCTCCTTTCATAAAGATTACAATCTTTGAAATCCTATATGGTGTCAGTGAGTCGTTAAGAGTCATAGGAATCAACTTGGTGGTGGTGGGGGGGGCGTTGGTTTTAAAAAGAAAATACGAATACATACTGACACTGCTGCTGCTGTGTGTTCTAGTGGCATTGGGCTGCTAACTTCAAGATCAGCGGTTCAAACCCACCAGCTGCTTTTTGGGAGACAGCTGAGGCTGTGTGCCCTTATGAAGATGTATAGTTTCGGAAACCCAAAGGAACAATTCTACTTTGTCCTATAGAATCACTGCGAGTCGAAATTGACTTGGCAGAGGGTTGTCCTGGTGTACCTGGGGTCCTTGGTGGTCCTCAAGTGGCACCTCTCCTCTTCATGTGCTTGCTTAACTGTATTGCTCCTTATACCTCAGAGGTGCTTAGGTTTCGGACACACTCTACACTGATAACTAACACAACAAAGAAGTCCCTTTTTTCAAACAGGATTACATCCTCAGGCACATGGCTGTGTGCAAACTGATTGTGACTTCCCAACCCTTGGTGGGTTCAAACTATCAACCTTCCAGTTAGAAGTCAAGCTCTTTAACCATTGTGCCACCAGGACTATATCCACATGTGGAGGTTAGGGTTACAATAAATATTTTGTTGTTGTTAAGCATTGTGGTAACCCTGTATAGGTTTTCCAAGGAGCGGCTGGTGGGTTTGAACTACAGACCTTGTGGTTAGGAATCCAGTGCTTATCCCACAGTGCCCCACCAGGACTCCCAACATATATGTTAGGGGGACACAATTCATCCATCACAGCCAGTAAAGGGTGCATATGAGATTTGAACCCAAGCAGCCTGGCTCCACCGCCCAAGCCGTCCACACTGTGGTAACAGCCCTGTGGCCCACAGGCAGTGTGGATTCCTGAGGGTGGAGGCTGTTTCATTTTTTGACTCTCCCCCCCTGTCCTGGGCCCATGTGATAGGAGACCCAGGGGAGCCGGGGAGCCTGCACCACCGAGCAGAGCCTGGCTCGGAGCCCCACTGAGCACCCAGGTTTCGGCTTTCTCTTCCACAGGGTGTCACTGAGGGCTACAATGGCACCATCTTTGCCTACGGCCAGACGGGCAGCGGGAAGTCCTTCACCATGCAGGGCCTGCCGGACCCTTCCTCCCACAGGGGCATCATCCCCAGGGCCTTCGAGCACGTTTTTGAGAGCGTCCAGGTATGGGTCTTGTGGAGTGAAGGAGCAGGACGGGTGCTCAGGCCTGGAGACTCCTGGCAGCCTCTTGTGGCCTCTGACCTGCAGCAGGGACGTGGGACGGAATCAGAGCACAGGTTTGACTTGGCATAGATGTAACTTCTGAATAGGTGATGGGAGAAAAACAGAAAAGCAAGAGAATGCTACCAGCTGCGTTGTCCTCCTGCCATTATTGGATTCTAGTGTTTCCTCAGTGTGTGAAGGTGTGGTGATGCCACACTAGCCTGAAGCCTGCTTGTAACAATAAGAGTTTTTCTGTTTTTGACCAAGTCTTGGGCAAAGCCCTGTGCATCATGATCATGTTGCCCCCCACACTGACCTAGGAGGCCACTCTTAGCCCCATTTTTAAGCTAGGGAAGCAAGATTTGGAAGCCTTTGAACTTTGTCCCAGTGTCCTTCCTGCAGGTGAGAATTGCTCCGGTTGCCATGCATAGAAACATGCAGACTGTCTTGCACTGGGAAATGGCAGAGCAGGGACAGAAGCCCTGGTCAGTTCCAGCCACTGTCTCCACTTTTAGGACTCACTGTGGGCATGCATAGGAGAATCTAGAGGCCTGGAGGGTGACCAGAGATCAACCCAGAGCCAGTGCTTTCAAGCCTTGGTTTTTCTACCTGAATAATGTGAAGGTCCTTATTGCCTTCCCGTGAGGTCAGCGAGAGAGCCGTAGTTAGCACACAGAATGAGAAGTCTGCAGTATTGAGAAGCCTGGGTCCACAGAGCTGCCCAGGGCCGAGAGCTTCCTAGGCAGGCAGGCAGGCAGGCAGGCAGGCAGCTGGAGTTCCCCCTGCCCTCAGGTCTCCCCCTTTCTTGTGAGATCCTGCCTGTGGGCCCCAGGTCACTGGCTGCATAGGTGGCTTGAAAGGTCCCGGGGTCAGTCAGTCTACCAGCAGATGGCGGGGCTCAGGTTTGCTGGTTCTCTGTTCCCTCCCTGCAGTGTGCAGAGAATACCAAGTTCCTGGTCCGGGCCTCCTACCTGGAGATCTACAATGAGGACGTCCATGACCTGCTGGGGGCTGACACCAAACAGAAGCTGGAGGTGGGTACAGATCCAGGGTGGGCAGGTAGGGACTGGAGGGGAGGGTTGGCCTCAGGTGGTGTGCCCTCAGAAATATGAGAGGCATGCCAGGGCAGGGACGCTGGCTGGCACTAGAGTGGGGACTTTTGAACTGGAAGTTTCGAGAATTCGCTAAACCCCCTGCCATCGAGTTGATTCTGACTATGTGGAATGGAGGAGAAGTGCTCCATCGTCTTCCCAAGGCTGTAACTCTTGGCAGGAACAGACTGCCTCTTCATTCTCCCACGGAGCAGCTGGTAGGTTTGAACCGCCAGTCTTTCTGTTCACAGCCCAATGCCTAACCCAAAACATCTATCCCTGCTTCACCCTGCCACCAGTGTTGTTTAACTCTGAGTTCAGCTTTTCAGGAGACTGAAAACCGTGTATGAAAAGCGTGTCATGTTTAGTGACTGATGCAGGTATGGGGTTTCTAGAGCTCCTCCGACCCACCCCACTCTACAGGGGAAGTGGGACCTTACCTGGAGCAGTTCCAGTATTACCTGCTTAAGTAGATGGAGTCTTGGTGTAAGATTTCATTCTAAGAAGGGCCTCCACTTGCACACACACAAAATTATTTTGAAAATCTCTAAGGGTTCTGCTTGCCAAAAGAGGGTTTTGAAGACCAGGCACTTACACTGACTGGCAGCTTTGGGCACGTTACCCCAACCAGTTTTCACAGCAACCTTGTGAAGTAGATGTTATTCTCCCCAATTTATAGGTGAGGGAAGGAAAACTTAGAGCTTCCTTGCCTATGGTTCAAACAGCAGTAAGAGACCAAGCCTGGGTTTGAACTCAGAACTGCCTCCCTTCAAGATCCTGGATGTCAGACATCCCATTTCACTGCTGCTGGTGGGCTCAGATTCTGGAACCTTGTTCCCCTCTAAAGGGGTCAGCCGTGGGTACAATCTCATAAGGAGTCTGCTGTGAGGGCTGACGAGGGTAATGTGGGTGAGCTCTCAGCAGAGGGCTGACTGACACCTGGTGGGTGTTCACAGTATGAGCTATTTCATGTCATCAGGATTCAGAAAATATGATGGGATGGCAAAGAGGACCCCTCGGGAGAGGGGAATCAAGGACTGCCACTTAGCTCAGGACACAGTTTAGGACCTGGCTCCATTAGTCACTCAGCCTGACATATTTTTCATAAACTGTTCTGTCTCCTGAAAGGCTAGACTCAGAATAAAGGAATGGATTTCAAAGCCGGGTGATTGCATAGCAGTGGTAGATGTTTTCAGGATTCAGTCAAGGTGGTTGAGTGGTAGAATTCTTGCCTGCAGGAGACCCAGGTGTGGTTCTTGGCCAGTGTACCTCATGCATACCCACCACCCAGCTGTCATCAGAGGCTTGCGTGTTGCTATGATGCTGAGCAGCTTCAGCCCAGCTTCAAGACTCAGATGGACCAGGAAGAAAGGCCTGCTGATCTCCTTTTAAAAACCAGCCAAGGAAAACACTATGGATCATAACGATCTGATCTGCAACCCATCATGCAGGACTGTGCAGTGTTTTGTTCCATCAGCAACTAACAACAACAGCCTCAATGTAGGCAGTAGTAGGCTGAACCTTTGCCGAGCCCAGCAAGGTCAAGAGACCTGCCAAGACTGCACAGCAGGGTTGGAGCCAGGCCCAGGTCCTTTGTCTCCCCCTTAATGACAGGTTGATTCTGCCTCTTATCTGAGGCTCTTTACAGACTGGGCTGGCCTGGGCTGGCCCAAGGAGGAGACATGTGTGTGGAGATGCTGACCCACATTTCTGGCTAAAGAGCAGATGGCTGCCTTCCCCAACTCTGGTGCTTGGTGACCATGCAACCAGCAGACGGCCCCTCCACCCCCCCAAAGGCCCACAGCAGAGTCAAACTGCCCAGGGAAGGGGGAGCATCATTCTTTTAATGACCATCAACCTCCTGGAGGTTGGTATGGAGATCCCTATTACTGTACAGATGAGGGCACAAGGCCTGGAAAGTGGTTTGCCTTAGACCGCTTGACTGGGAAGCCACAGTCAGGATTGGCCCCTTTCCCCGACTCCAGCGGCTGCCGTCTCCCTAGGGCAGCCATGGGGAGGTGTGGGGCAGAGTCAGAGAAGCAGACCCCTGGTGACGTTTGTCAATCCACCTGCTCCTCACTGACCTTTAGGACTGGATGCACATTGAACTCACCTGGTTCCCACGTCCATGGACGTCCAAGCAGGACTATTTCCCTGCTTGGCTCCACGGCCTCTTACCTGATCCCACTTCCCCTGGTTAGGTTCACTTGAAGGTCTGGTGTGTGAGTCCTTTTGTGATGGGTGACCACTCTGTGGCCAAACTGTACAGATTAGGCCCTTAGGAGTGGCTGTCTTGAGAAACTTGTGTGACTGGTTCAGATCGAGGAAAAATCCTTAAAAACTGAAAATCCTTAAAGAGCTTCTAGTCAAACCCTTGCTCACAGAGATAAGGAAACCGAGACTTGGAAGGGAAGGGGACTTGGCCAAGATTACACAGCAAATTATTAGCGACCGCCTTGGTATCAGAGCTTGTGGGACCTAAGTGGTCAGGAGCTTTATTTCTGGATCAGCAATATAGGAATTCCCTGGACATAATTAACCATCTGTCAGTTTGTTGTACTGGATGGCTTGTATGTTGTTATGATGCTTAAAGCAATGCCAGTGAATGGTGTGTCAAATACCAAAGTGTTAACACGTGGTGGACAGATTTCAGTGGAACTTCCAGACTGATAGACTAGGCCGAAACGTAACCAGTAAAAACCTTAAGGATCATAATAGAGTGCTGGAAGATGAACTGACTCAGTGGGCAGCTAGCAGCAACAAGGGATTCGAAGTGAGGAAGGGACATTCACTGGGGGTCTTCAGAGTCTTACTAGGCAAACCTCATGGGCTCCAGGCACCAGGCCACAGGCTGTACCAGAAGCACAGTCTTCATTCAGTCCCCAGTCTTTGCTGCTGGGGACCCACCTCATCCCCTCAGACTCCATCTCAAACCCAGCAACATTTTGCTCATTCTGTGGGGGAGCCTCTGGTCTTTCTGCTGGCTTCTCTACCCTGGAACTGGTGCAGCTGACTCACAACAATCTCTCAGAGCAGGGGATAGGACAGGGAGGAAGGCACAGGGAGCTGCTGGTGGGTCAGGGTCCCCTGCCCATCCAACCTGTCCTCCCTGAGTTGTTCTCTGGGGCAGCAGGAAGCCCTCCTCTCCCTCCTCGACATGCTGGGTTCTAGAAAGGTCCCAACTACCCAGGCTCTGAAGAGCCAAGGACTGGCAGCCATATGCACTTACCCCAGCTGGGCACTGGCAGATCAGATGCATCCTGGGAAACATGACTATGGAAACATAGGCTTTGGACATGCTGCCCTGCAGAGGTGTGCAGGTGCATTTTGTGGGGAAGCCCCACCTACAAACAGTCAGGAGCCGGCACTGCCTCCAGCTTCTTTCTGTCTCCAAATTCTCTGTCCTCATATGAACAGAGATGGATAAGTGCTGATCGCCGGGGACCTTTCTAGTGCTCACATTCAGTGACTTGGGGGAAGCTGTAGTGGAGAATCAGTTGTAGAGTTGATCATACTGGCTGAGGGCAGCCTCCAAATGGTGGCAAGTCCTAGGTGCCATTCGTGACCACTACTCAGGTGGGGACCTGTGCTCAGAGCCTGTGCAGCCAGGTAGCATTAGAGCGACTCTGGGGCTGCATCCCAGTCTGGCTTTCTGTGCTGTATGACCTTGGGCATATCACTTCACCTCTGATATTTCTTCATGTGCAAAACAGGGATAAAGAGAGGGATTGTATGGTGGGGTTGCTGTGAGGAATCAGACAGGGTGTTTCAAATGTTTATTAGATTAGGGAGGCCATCAAGGGAGCCCTGGTGGAGAAGTGGTAAAGCCTTTGAGTGTTAACTGAAAGGTCGGTGGATGGCTCAAATCCACTAGCTGCTCTCTGGGAGAAAGATGGGCAGTCTGCCCCCTTGTTCTACCCTGTCCTGTAGGATCTCTGTGACTACGAATCCACTCACTAGCAGTAGGCTGGTTTTAGGTCAATAAGAGTTTGGAAAGCAAGAAGGCTGAAGAGCCATACTGCCCTGTACCCACAATTCATTGGTGGTGTGTGGTGGGTGGGGGGCCCTCAGCAGTCATCCCTGGCATGGAGATGGTTCCTGACCCCTGACAGCACATGGACATCATGCCCTCCCCCATCCTGGCGGCATCCTCACTAGTTGCCATGGTGACCAGGCTCTTTGGTGTGCAGCTGCAATGAGCGATTACGAACGACCTTGATGCCAACTGGCGCCCTCACTTGGTTCCTTCCTGCCGCTGAGGTGGGATAGGGGCAGGAATCAGGGAGTGAAGGGCATACTGGGGGGAGTCTGTCTCATTTAGGTATATGGTGTAAGGAGCAAGTCTTCCTGGGCCTAAAAATAGGGCCAGTAGGAGACCCCATGCAAGGAAGAGCTGCCTCTCTACTGGCTTTCCAGGGTCTGATGTGCTCAGGCCCCAGACAGAGCTGCTTAGTTCTCTTTGTGACCTACGTCCACTGAGTGCACTCTAGGGTCAGGCTGAACCTTTTTCAGCTCCATTTTCTTCTGTATCCTAATATTGTTAGGTTCTGAGTTGATTTTGCCTCACAGTGACCCCATGTGATAGAGTCTAAGGACCTCAGATTGTTTCCTAGGCCGTAATCTTTACGGGAGGAGCCTGGGTGGCACTGTGGGTTTGGGCGTTGGACGGCAGAGTCAGGGTTGAGAATCCAGCAGTGGCTCCCAGGGAGAAAGGTGAGACTGCTCCCGTAAAGATTTACAGACTCGGAAGCCTTCTATGGGGCTGCTGGGAGGTGGAATTGACTTGATGGGCAGTCGGGTTCTTTTTTCCCCATTGGTTTAATCTTTATGGGAGCAGAGATAGGGGTTATTATCCTTGGCTTGCAAGTGATGAATCCCAGGCCTAGAGAGGCCAATGGACTGCTCTGAGTTCCCACAGGCTAGCAAGTGGGAGAGTCAGGCTTCCGACTGGGGTCCACATTCTTCCTGAAGCTGGGAACCACTGTGTGGGAGCCAGGTGCTGTACTAGGGGTGTACAGGATTATAGCAGGTCACTTTACCCGGCTCACAGCATGAAGAGTCTCAGGACTGCTCTGAGCCACACCCTCTCTGCTGGGTTCTCCTCACCCTCCAGGCTACCTTTAAGGTCAGCTCTTTGCTTCAGTTACTGCAGGATGCCCCAGCCTCTCCCAGAGCCCACCCATTCCACAGTACCTCCCACCCCCGCCCCCATTGTTACCCTGCTGGTAGCTGTGTGATCTTGAACAAGTCACTTAACCTTGCTTGCTCATCTTGAAGCCCAACCCTGAAAAAACTGCAGTCCTGCGGGCTGGGGCTCCCAGATCCCTTACTTCACATATTAGCAGAAAGAACATGCCTGTGCTTGTCCCCTGACTTTGGCAGAGGGGGCCCCTCCCTCCTTAGACCCCTGAAACTGCCCAAAGCAAAGCATATGAGCTTCTGTGACGGCTTCTGTGATTGCCCAGCACTGGCCCGCAGGGCCATTTGGCAGACACACAACATTTGTCTGAATTCATTCTGCTCTTGCCAGAGTGGTTTTATTTCCTCTCACACTTGAAAAATATTGCATTTCACAGTTCTGTGTCAGCAACAAAACAGCTTGACTGCCTAGAAAGTGAGCAGGGAGCGATCAGATAAATTAATGTACTCTCTGCCACTGGCTAATCTAGAAACCAATTGGAGTTCTGGACAGGAAATGGCCATTCACCCATGTGCCATGGCCCCAGGGTCTGGGAATGTTCCCGTTGCTATGGAGCTGAGAGAGAGAGAGAGAGAGCACGCAGAGTGGCAGGAAGAAGGCCGCTTGCAGAGCTCTGAGGTGACTGCAAGCTTAGCCCCAGGGAGCCAGGGCTCCCAGATGGAAAACCACCTCTACTATTAGCAACAACAAAGGAGCAGCTGGCATTGACTGAGCACTTAGGATGTACCAGGCACTGTGCTAAACATTTCGTTACTTAATCCTTACCACCACCTTATGAGAGGAGATGTTGCATGCCCATTTTACAGATGTGAAAACTGAGCTCAGAAAGGTGAATTTACTGGCCCATGGTACCCCCATTAGAAGGTACAGGGGCAGGTTTGAGACAAATTCTGCATAGCACAAACTCCCTCCTGGTATAGGGTATTTGCAGTGCCAACTTGCATTGTAGGAAGGAGAAGGTAGTCTGACCAGGCCCTTCCCTTCAGCTCCGGCCTCACCTGCACTTACATGCGTGGTTCCTCTCCCCACAGCTGAAGGAGCACCCCGAGAAGGGTGTGTACGTGAAGGGGCTATCGATGCACACGGTGCACAGCGTGGCCCAGTGTGAGCGCATCATGGACACAGGCTGGAAGAACCGCTCTGTCGGCTACACCCTGATGAACAAGGACTCCTCCCGCTCACACTCCATCTTCACCATCAGTATTGAGATCTACGCTGTGGGTATGTGGGGCCAGGTGGGGCTGGAACACCGACAGTGGTGATACTGGAGCTCTGGTAGCGTACAGGTTGCGAGTCGGTCTGTTAACCTCAAGGTCAGCAGTTCGAAACTACCGGCAGCTCCGTGGGAGAAAGATGAGGCTTTCTGCTCAGGTCAAGATTCACAGCCTCGGAAACCCTGTACAGGGTCACTATGAGTTGGGACTGACTCCACGGCACTTAATCACCACCAGCTACCACTGTGTGGAGTCCTGGTGTGGCGCTGTAGACTAAGCACTGAGCTGCTAATCAGGAGGTTGGGGATTCAAACCCACCAGCCTCTCCTTGGAAACCCTATACAGAGTCGCCATGAGACACTTAACAACAACATAATGTGCCAAAGCACTTCAGGTACGTCTTTGTAGTCCTAACTACAGCACTGCATTAATTTGCCAAGGCGGCTGTATCAGTGATTACAAACCTGGTGGTTTTAAAGAACAGAATTGATCCTCTCAGAGTCCTGGAGGCCAGAAGTCTAAAGTAAAGTGGCTGGCAGGCAGCGTTGGTTGCTTCTGGAGGCTCTGAGGAAGAATCTGTACCTTACCTCTCATGTGGCTCCTGACAACCCCAGATGTCCCTTGACTTGTAGCTGCATTACCCCAATCTGCCACCTTCTCTGGGTGTGGTGTTTCTCTCTCTCTTAAAGACGCTTGCCATTGGATTCAGGATGCTCTCAACTGGAGAGCCTTACCTTTATTACATCTGCTGTTGTTAACAGTACCACCGAAGTTGGTTCTGACTCAGTGACCCTGTACAGGGCTTCCGAGGCTTTAAGTTGTTGTGAGAGCAGAAGAGGCCCTTATTCCAAATAAAGTCACATTCAGAAGATCCAGGTGGCCATATCTTTTGAGGGAGAGACCATTCCACCTGCTACAAACGAAATAGGATGGGTACTACTAGTCACACCATTTTCTAGATGAAAACATTGCGGTCATAACAGCTGGAACAGGTCAGAGCTGGGATTCAGTCCTAGGTTGTATATCAACCAGGCTATTTGGGTTTCTTCTTTCCCTAAAAATTTCTCAACTCTTCTGTTATCTCACTCTTCCTTTTTTTCTGGAAGTTACTGAGAAAGAGGAGAAGGAAGGAAAGGAATCCATATTTACTCCACCCCCGCCTAGGTCAGGTCCTGTGCTAAGCACTCTACAGAACCCACTCAGTTCAAACTCATAGCAAGCAGTCCTTGAGGCAGGCATCACCTGTCAAGTTCTGACTCTACAGGTGAGGCAATGGCATTCTAAGGGGACCCGCAACAGCTTGGTGGGAAGCTGGGCTTCGAACTCACACTCCAGCTGACTCCAAGTTTGAGTTCCATCCCAAATGGAACAGAGCAGGAGAGCAGGAGCTTTGAGACACATTCCAGAGATCCTGGACCCAAGGTCAAAGCTACGGTTGATGGAGCCTGCTACCATACTCCCAGCCTATGATGACCTGGCCCCAGGCTACCCCCAGGCATGGTCTTTAGTACTTTACATGCTCCGCCAACACAGGAAACTAACACCTACTGTGTGCCAGGACCCATGTGATGGTATTAGGTGCCGTTGGATGATTTCAACTCACAGCAGCTCACAGGGTTTTCTAGGCTGTTACGTTTATGGCAGCAGATCACCAGGTCTTTTCCCACAGAACTGCTGGGTGGGTTCAGTTAGCAGCTGAGCATTTAGCCACTGTGCTCCCAGGGCTCCTCGGACCTGTGCAAACCTGGTGAAAAATGTATGGTCAGTTTACTTTGGTGCTTTTTTTGCCTTGGAGTTGTTTATGTGAGAACTGAGCATCAGAGAGGTGCACGTCTTTGTCAAGATCACACAGCAAGTAGGAAAGTAGATACTTGTTTGCGTTACAGGCTACAACTCCTTGAGGACCCAGCCTCATAGGAATTCTGTAGGAGTGAATATCATAACTGTTAGAAATCCTGCTGCATTTAAAGACCAGTCTGTACCTCCAGCCACTGTCCCCAAGGCCCTTCTACTCTGATGCCTGGGAGGGAGCTGTCTGTCTCTGGAGTCAGACAGTCCTGGGCTCTGATCGTGGCTGTGTAACTTTGGGAGTTCTATGCCCTCTCCTAGTCTCAGTTTCTTCATCTGTGAGATGGGTACATTAATAACACCTCCTCCAATGGGCTCCTATGTGTCTGAGATGGAACTTTTAGTGGATGGTGAGCGCTTGATGCCCGGTAGTTCCTTGGGGGGCCTACCTAAAGGCCATCCCCTTCTGCTTGATTTGTCTGCAGACGAACGGGGCAAGGACCACCTCCGGGCGGGCAAGCTGAACCTGGTGGATCTGGCGGGCAGTGAACGGCAGTCCAAGACGGGAGCCACAGGGGAGCGGCTCAAGGAGGCCACCAAGATCAACCTGTCACTGTCAGCGCTGGGCAACGTCATCTCAGCTCTGGTGGACGGACGGAGCAAACACATCCCCTATCGGGACTCGAAGCTGACGCGACTGCTGCAGGACTCGCTGGGTGGCAACACCAAGACGCTGATGGTCGCCTGCCTGTCACCCGCTGACAACAACTACGATGAGACACTCAGCACGCTGCGTTACGCCAACCGAGCCAAGAACATCAAGAACAAGCCACGCATCAACGAGGACCCCAAGGACGCCCTTCTGCGCGAGTACCAGGAGGAGATCAAGAAGCTCAAAGCCATTCTGGCTCAGCAGATGAGCCCCAGCAGCCTGTCAGGTGGGGCAGCTGGGGGGCAGGGCAGGGGTGGGGCTCAGGGCACTGAGAGATAGCCCTGTCCCCCACCTTCTCTCCACTTCATGGAGCCCATCTTTTGAACACTCAGGGAAGCCCTGGATGCTGATGGGCTCAGGGGAGGCCAGTTTGTGTGACCTGGCCTACTGACTCTGGGCTCTACCGCCCGCTGCCCCCCTCTGGGTAGTCCATCCATCATTGCACCCGTCTCATCGGCCTGCTGTTGCTTGGCAGCACTGTGATGCTGTGCTGCTGAGCAGCTGATAACTCACTCCCCCGTATCCAGCCCAAGCCCCAGTTAGGTACCCTGTTATTGCAGCTCTCACGCCCAGGCATTTGGCTGTTATCTGGCCGGTGCAAATTCATACCTGCAGGGCCTTAGAACTCAGGGACTCCAAGATGTTCTTTCACTAAGAACCCATGGTGAAGGGCACATGGAAGGTCCTGGGTTTACCTGCCCATTTATCCACCTCCCTACTCACCTTCCTCCCTATCCATAAACTCTACATCCCCTCATCCATCAATCCATCCATCCACCCATCCTCTCTATCTGCCCACACACCTATCTGTCCACCCTCTCATCTTTCCATCCATTCCCTCATCTGTTCACCCTCTCCATCCATCCATCCATCCATCCATCCATCCATCCATCCATCCATCCTCTCCATCCATCTGTCCATCCTCTCCATCCATCCATCCATCCACTTGTCTGTCCACCCTCTCTATCCATCCACCCATTCACACACTCCATTCTTCTATCTGTCCATCCACTTATCCACTCAGTCTATTGATCCACCCATTTAATCCACTATCCATTCTATCTAACTATCCAGTCCACTCTTCCATCTACCCACCCACCCACCCAACTGTCTAAAACTCACTGAACACCTCCTCTGTGTCCGGACTGGGCTGGGCACTGGGAACATGGAGATGACTCAGAGTCAGGATCTGCCTGGTGGAGCAACTGGGAGAAGGACGACACTCCAGCAGGCAAGCAAGTGCAACAACACAAACTAGGCAGCCGTGCAGGGCAGAAAGTCAGGGAGAGGGGTTTGAGCAGAGTCTTGGAGGGTGAGCAGTGTCTCTGTATGACTGAGGTGGGGCCAGTATGTGCAATGACACACAGACTACGAGGTGTGTTTGGGGAACTTCAAATCCTGCTCCTGGCTGCCTGGGGAGGGAGGTGGGAGGTCATATCCAAGTTGGCAGGGGCTGGAGTAGAAAGGGTCTTCACTACGGCAATGGGGCAACTTGCCTTTCTCGGCTTGCCCTATTTCCTACTCCTGAACCCCCTCACCCCACCCAGAGGGCCAGGATGGTAGATGGAGGAATAGTGAGAGGTGGTGGCTCCCTAAAGCTAGCAGCTGACATTTGCATAGCCTGCCAGTGGTTCCCATCCAGTCTTGTGTGAGTGATCTTTGCAGAACAGAGCTGAGAGCCCAACATCTGGTGTCTGGCTCACTTCCTGGCTCCTTGGGCAAGCTCTGTGCTCAACTTGCACCTGCATTACGGTGTGTCATTCTCCCCGCTGCCTCAAACAGCGACACAGAAAGTCGTGGTGTTTGTTCCCTCTGAGAAGCCCACTTTGCCTTCTGTGCCTCACTTTCCTCATCTGTAAAATGGAGAGAACACCACCTCCTGACTTGTTGCTGTTGGAAGCAACTGGGGAGAATGTGTGGGCTGAGCGTGGAGCCGGGTATGGAAGGGCTCTGGGGATGACAGATGATGCTGTGACTTTATAGTTGGGCCTTGAGCCCAGGTGCATCTGACTCATGGCCCCCACACCCACCCCCACACATTCTGTCCTCTCCACACTCACTGGTAAGGGCTTCCTCTGCTCTGGTGCCTGCTAACACTGGCTCTAGCGTTTACTGCTCACATGGAGACCTCCAGCCTCCAGCCCCTGAATTCCAGACTTGATCTGCACCTGTCTGTCCAACCAGCTCTTCCCTTAGCACATCCCACACTGAGCTCTGATCTGCCCCTACCTGCTTGTCCAGCAGCCAGCCCCCACAGTTGGTAGGTCTCTTGTGTCTCTGTGACTGTGTGTATTTGGCTGTTATCTGGCAGGTGGAAATTCAGTGTTCCAGCCTGAAACCCAGAATCATTCATGACTTCCTGTGTTCCCACATCTAGACCAGCAGCAAACCCTAGCGTCTCTTCTTTACATCATTGCAGAATTCATGCATTTGTCCCCATGCCCCCCATTTCTGCCTCTCTAGCGGGAGCCGCCAGCATCTCTCACCTGACTTCCTTCAGTGTTCCCCCAACAGGTACCCCAGCTCTGCCTTTGTTCCCTCAGCACCAGGGAAATCCTGTTCAAAGGCAAGTCAGATCCCATCACTGGGCTGCTCAAACCTTTCATGGCCACCACCTAACTCGGAGGAGAAGCTGAAGTCCTTCTAACAGCCTCCGAGCCTCCCACAGTTTACTCCCATCACCTCTCCACATCCCCCCATGGCTTGCTGTGGTCACATTGGCCTTCTGGCTGTTCCCCTTATAGTCCAGGTCCCCACTTTCCTCAGGACCTTTTGTACTCACTGCTAGTAAGCTCCTCCCCAAGACCTGCCTGCCTCCCTCCCTCCCTGACTTCCTCAGAGCCCTGCTCCCATAGGGCTCTTGTACGCCTTGTTAAAGAGGTCTTCCCTGGTTTACAGCCCTCCTCTGGTTCTTCCCTCTGCTTTCTTCTGAGCACACATCATCTTGCAACCTGTGTTGGTGGTGGTAAGGGCCATCGAGTCGGTTCTGACTCATAGTGACCCTGTGTAGGGTTTCTGAGGAGTGGCTGGTGGGTTTGAACAGCCAACCTTGATGTTCAAAATCCTTGAGGTTGAGTACTTAGTCTATGGTGTCACTTCAGCCTTTTACCTCCAACTGAAAACTCAGTGTGGATGTGGAGTTTTGTCTATTTTGTTTGTCCAATGCTGCATCCCTAGTGCTCAATGCATGTTTGTTGACTGACTGAATAAATTAGCACTGTGTATAGAGACATGTTTAAGGAGCTCTGGTAGTGTAGTGCTTATGAGTCAGGTTGCGAATCTCACGGTCAGCGGTTCACAATTACCAGCGGTTCTGCAGGAGAAAGATGAGGCTTTCTGCTCCTGTAAAGATTTACAGCCTCGGAAGCCCTATACAGGGTCGCTATGAGTCGGAACTGATTCCACGGCACACCACCACCACCACCACCACCACCATAGAGACATATTTGAGATATGCTTGACACTTTGAAGTCTTTTGTGAATGAGCACGTGGATGCCTTTTTACTGATACCTGCTTAGTCCCTGTACCTTGTCATAGCCCCTCGTTTCTGTTCTCCTCCCAGTCCTGCTGTCCAACCAGGTGCCCCTAAACCCTGGCCAGTTTGAGGAGAAGCCACTGCCGCCCCCACCTGTGGTCCAGCATGACACAGAGGCCGAGAAGCAGCTGATCCGGGAGGTGAGAGGCCTGGGCAGGAGACTGGGGTAGGTGGGGCAGGGCTCAACTCCAGCGCACACTCTTTAACCGTCACCATTGTCCGTGAGGTTGGTACCAAAGTGCCCCCCTTGTAACTGAGCACCTGAGGCCAGGATTTGTCCAAGGTCACTCAGCTCTGGAGAGTCTGAGCAGGCTCCCTGTCACTAGGACTGCTACACAGGAGACGAGAAAGCTGTGGGCACCCCCAGGGGCTTCCAGCTCAGGCTGCTGGCTCAGGAAAGATAGAGCTAGAATCCCTGATACTATCTCAAATGCAGGGAGAGCCTACTGGGTGTGTAGACACATGTAGGTGTGTGCGCATTTATGCAGGCATGTATGTGTACAGCTGCATGTAGTTTGCTCTTGGTACTGAACTGTACATGTCTGTCCATGTCCATATCTGTCCATGTCCGTGTGTGTGTATTTGCTCTCAGTACTGATGTGTGCATGTGTCTGTGTGCAGGTACATATGTGTGTGCGTTTGCTCTCTCAGCATTGAAGGGAGAAGGGGTGACTGTGGACAGCAGACAGGAGACATTCCTATGGGTACCACTAGCAAAGACGAGGTCAGAGTGTAGAGGATGTGGTCCCCTCAGCAGGTGCCCACAAGCTGAAGCTGAGAGCAGGGCATCAGGGTGGGCTTGAGGAGCCTGCAGATGGCCACTTGACTGGTGGGTAAGTGGGGTGCTGGCCTCCAAGAAACAGCTTTCCCTTGGGGCACCTGGGCCCTCTCGCATGTGCCTGCTCAGCATCCCTGGGAAACAGCAGGGCAGGTGACAACCTCAGTGTACACATATGAAGTTGGTCCCTAGGTGGGAACAGGAAGGGGAACAGAACCAAACTCCCACCTTACACTCTGTTCTAACTCCAGTCTGTGTTGGCTTCCGGAAGTTCTAACCATTTGAAGCCTGCATTATGGAATTTGACATTTGGGAGTCCCCCCAAGTGGGGTCCCTAGGACAGTGTGTTCTTGGCGCTGGGGAAGACTGAGAAGGTTTTGGAAACTTATCTGCTCACTCTTCACTGCTGCTCTGGGAGCTCCTGGGCAGAGCCTGGATCTCTGGGTCAGGCCCAGGGGATGGGCTGGGAAAGAGGGAGCCACTGGGGATGTCAGAGTGCAATCCCACAACAGTGAGAGAAAGTGTGCTTTCAGGGTTCAGAGTGGAAGTGGAATCCTGTGGTGACCTGTTGCGGACCGTGTAAGACTAGTCAGAGGTTCGAGGCCCTATAGGGCCGAGTGTAACAAATGAGGCCGCTGGCAGTTAATAGCAAATTGTCTTTCATCTTAATATTCAGTTATATATATTAAATTAATACACGGAGCCTTTGATAATCCACAGATAAATGTGATATTTTCCTAAAGCCTGAGACTAAAGGTTGCAAGGTTAAGCCTTTCTCCAAAGGATTAACTAAAAATATCTTAACTACTTCACAGTTCCTTGTTCTACAGACAAAAAAGCCATCCACCCTGAATCTCTCCCAAGTGTTAGCTATTCAGCCAAGTTCCTGAAAACCTGGCTCAGGAAGCCGAAGCAGCAGGACTCCGCCTAAGCTTTTGTCCTTATCTCTCACCTTCCCCCACCTAAGCTCAGGGGCTATAGATATGTTAATTGGGCCTGAGACTCCAAGTTGCTGGCCTGGGATTCGAACCAGCGAAGTACGATGTAAAGTTACCTGAATGTCTGGAAAAGTACTGATGTTAGCTGTACCTTGCCTAAGTCCCTCCCAGCTTGGTGTGAAGCTCCTCCCCTAAACAAAAGAGGCCCGGGCCTCCCCAGGTGTGCATTACAGGTTGGAGGGCATGCAGTAAAGATTGCAGTGTATTCCGGGCTGGAGGGCATGTGGTAAAGATTGCAGGGCAGTGAGTTGCTGCCTGCAGAGGCCACAATGCCTGTAGTCCCAAGCCTGCCCACCAGTGATGTATCCATCCTGGCTTTGGGGTGCCTCATTGTCTCTCTCTTTGTCTCTTTCTATGTATTCTTGATATATTGTTACCGCCGTCAGGTATCTCCTCCTCGTGAACCGAACCCCTATGTCGAGGCAGGTCCCCGGCAGTGACCAGTAAACTTCAATCCAAAGTTGCGGCTGGGCAGGCTGGCGCTGGGTGGGATGGAAGTTTCCTACTTGTGGACAAACTATTGGGTGGAACAAGTATTGTGGCTGTGCAGTGAGGAGGACACTGCCTCCCTCTAGTGGTCACAGGGAGAAGTGACACTGTTCCTGGCTGGCAGTTGTGTGTTGCCTGTGGTTGGAGAATCCTGCCCTGGGGATGGGTCACCTGTTCTTCCTCATGGGGCAGCCTAGTGGACACATACTGCCATTGGAGCCCCCACCACCGAGTTCTGTTTTCTGACCTTGGAGTTTCTTCTGTGAGCCAAGCTTGCATGAGGATATCTGTCCTCCCTCACTTCCATTTGTTCTTTTGGTTATGGCGGATGTTTACTGAGCACTTACTATGTGCCTGCAACTGTGTTTCCCTTCCCCTTCCAAAGCCCCCCAGACAACCTGGACCAGGGGAGTTGGAGCTTCAATGCAGTAGACAGAGCACTGGGCTTGGAGTCGGCTTAGCCACAGACTCTCCATGTGACTCTGAATTTCAGTCTCTCGTTGGTACTTGGGGGACTTGGAAAGAAGATTCTAGGGTACTGGTGTGGTGCTTTAGGATAAGCACTTGACTGGTAACCCCAAGGTTGGCAGTTCAAACCCACTAGTTGCTCCTTGGAAACCCTATACAGGGCCCTTATGAGTTGGAACCTGCTAGAAGACACTTAACAATGATCTAGCTTTTGTTTCTTCAAGTCCGGTTCTTATTGGCTTTGTGACGATGGACTAGGGATTTAAGACTGTTTTCTCGTCTATGTTGTTGTTGTTAGGTGGTGTTGAGTTCCATCCAACTCACAGTGACCTTGTGTACAACAGAGGAAATGCTGCCTTCTCCTGTGCCAACCTCAGGATTGCCATGATTGAGCTCATTGTTGTAGCCACTGTGTCTGTCTTGCTGAGGGTCTTCCTCTTTTACGCTGACCCTCTATGTTACCAAGCTTGATGTCCTTCTCCAGGGACTGGTCCCTCCTGACAACATGTCCAAAGTACATGAAACCAAGTCTCACCATCCTGGCTTCTAAGGAGAATTATGGCTGTACTTCTTTGAAGACAGATTTGTTAGTTCTTCTAGCAGTTACATTCAACAGTCTTGGCCAACACCCTAATTCAAACCCTTATCCGGTCTCTTATTCATTGTTCAGCTTTCATATGCATCTGAGGTGATTGAAAATACCATGGCGTGGCATATGCATCTGAGGTGATTGAAAATACCATGGCGTGGCTCAGGCGTACCTTAGTCCTCAAAGTGACATCTTTGCTTTTGAACACTCTTGTGCAGCAGATTTGCTTAGTGGGATCTATCATCTGATTTCTTGACTGCTGCTTCCCTGAGTGTTGATTGTGGCTCTGTCTATGGGGTGGATAGGTTAGCAGCTTTTCTACCTGCTTAACACCCATTGTAAGAGGCTGAAATGTCAGGTACTGACCAGGAGCTAGGGCTCTGGATTTGCACTTGACCCTCCTCTTCCTCAGTCAGTCATCAATATGCACTTCCTAAGAATCTGCCTGGTGGCAGCCCTGTGGTTGGAGAAGGTGGGGGACCAAGGCCTGGTCTTTGTTTGAATATTGGAAATAATGGTGCCTGCTTTGTACACTAGAGGGAATGACCTAGCACAGAGGGAGAAATCAGTGGTATTGAGGGAGGTGCCAGTTTGACAGAGCCAAGTCTTCCAGTGAGGTGGGGTCGGCTCCAGGAGGTTCATCCATTGCAGCACTTTGGGGTCAATAGATAGGAAGATGGGAAGATATGGAGCGGCTGAGGGGCTGTCGTCTGACTGCTTCAATTTCCCGTGTGAAGTATCAGGCCAGAGGTGTGGGGAGGAGCCGGGGTTGGCAGAGAGGGAGAATGTCAGAGTTCTGGGGATGTGTGGGGAGGAGCCGGGGTTGGCAGAGAGGGAGAATGTCAGAGTTCTGGGGATGTGTGGGGAGGAGCCGGGGTTGGCAGAGAGGGAGAATGTCAGAGTTCTGGGGATGTGCTGAGCCAATGAAAGCCTATTCCCTAGCAGGTCTTCCTTTTTTCCCACTGACCCTTCATGCATCACATTTAAATGGAAACAGTCTGTGGTGTTGCTGTGTGAGCACATGTAGACATATATGAGTATGCTTGTGTGCACGCATGTGTGCATGTGTGTTTGTTTCCAGCCATCTTTGGCTCAGGGTGCACTGTGGGTGGGATGAGGCCTGCCTTTAACAGGGTTGAGGCTCTTTGGTGCACACAGTGGTAGGTGCTGGGGGAGGGATTGCAGGGTGTCTGTTAAGGAGGGAGTGTGATGCTGGACCTTGGATCTCAGCTGGGTAAGGCAGTGGGAGGTGGGGGGTGGGTAGTGAGAAACAGAGGTCTCAGCAAGGTCCTCCCGGGACCTGTGGTGCTGGGCAGGTGGGGGCACTCTCCCTGTGCTAGTTAGATATCATGGAGCCAGTCTTACTCATTGCGACCTTATGTGTGACGGAACAGAACGCTGCCTGGTCTGGCAACACCCTCACAATTGTTGTTAATGTTTGAACCCATTGCTGCTGCCACTGTGTCATGCTATCTCCTTAGGGGGTCTCCCTTTTTCTCACTGACCCTCTACTTTACCAAGCATGATGTCCTTCTCAAGGGACTGGTTCCTCCGGATAACATGTGTAAAGTATGAAGCATGAGAGATGAAATCTCACCATTCTCACTTCTAAGGAGCATTCTGATTGTATGTCTTCCCAGACAGAGTTGTTTGTTCTTCGGGCAGTCCCGAAGAATATTCTTCTCCAACACTGGAATTCAAATGCATCCGTTCTTCTATGCTATTACTTAGTCATTGTCTAACTTTCCCATGCACATGAGCTAAGACAATGACAATACCGTGGCTTGGGCCAGGTGCACCTTAGTCCTTAGACTGACA